ATTCTGGAGCCACACCTCTGACGATGAAAACAGGGCACAGTAAAACAAGAACAGTACTTTAATCCCTCAAGGATTGGCAAATGTTGGCAAAAGGATGAACTAATTCATCCATTTTGAATTGCTTATTTTTATTTGAGTATATTTTTCTCTGAGATTCTGTAGCAATTACAGAGAGATCTAGTTTACAGGTAGCATATAGCTGACTCATAACTGCTTACAGGAATGGAAAAGACACATTGATCTAAGTAGGCCTCATTCTCCATTCACCTCCCTGGGAATGTGAAAACAGGTCTAGCTGCAGGCAGGGTAGCATTAAACTTAATGGTGCCATTAACTGGCCAAACCTCTTCATTGTCCACTTTATAGTGGGGCCAGGCTATGTTGCAAAAAAAGATTAGCCTTTTTTTCCCTTTGGGGGACCTGAGTCAAATTTCTCCCAGTTGAAGTGTTTGTACCCCAAAAGAAAAGGGGACTCTCAAGGCACTGTGGCCTGGTTCCCCATCTACAGAGGCATGTGCAGCAAGCCGAGGTTAGGCATCTCTGCAAGTCTCTGGGCTGTTTGGGCCATTCTGAGTAGGGCGGGTCTCCTGTTAAGCATTCTCTCTGACTCTCATGGAAGTTAATAATGAAAAGATGGTGAGCAAACATTCGGTCAGTCTCAAGATTAGTTTCCTCTTGGGGGTTCCCTTAAAATCATTTTCCCTTTTTGTTTCAGAATCTGTTTCATTTAGTTCTAAATACATATTAGCTTTCTGGGCCGGGGTGGGGGTGAGGGGGGGGGGACATGTGGGCATCACTGATTTTAAAATCTCTATCAGGTGAATTGGGACCGAATTGACCAGTAAATTATGTTGTCCCTTAACATGCCGTAATTCAATGGTCGGCAAACTCATTAGTCAACAGAGCCAAATATCAACATTACAATGATTGAAATTTTTTTTGAGACCGAATTTTTTAAACTTAAACTACATAGTTAGGTGCAGTGTTATTAAATTAATTAGGGTCCTCCTAAGGCTTAGGAAGAGCCACACTCAAGGGGCCAAAGAGCTGCTTGTGGCTCCTGAGCCGCAGTTTGCCAACCACGGCCTTAAATGAAAGGGGACAGGTTCTAATTTTAAAACAGCCATTGGTTGCTTAGACACCCTTACCATTTGTACAGAAGCTTTACTCTGAGGTAGTGGGAAACGTAGACGGGTAGGGTTAAGAACAGATAAAGAAGCCCCAGTATCTCCAAGGGCCTAGTAATGTTCCCTTTTATGATAATTTCAATTTTTTAGTAAGGAGAAGGGGAAAATACCCTCTCATAGTCCTGGAGCAGCCTTATGTTTCCTTCTGTTTCCACTTTGTAAATCACACTTCAGGTTTTCTTTTTAAACAGAAAACCTCCCTTTTTATTGCAAAAGACTCCTCTCTGGTTGCACAGCAGACCTTATTTAGTAATCCTGTTGCCTTGCTCTCAGAAACAGTGGGTATATTAGTTGGAATATGTCAGAATAGCCAGGATTACATGTTCTAACAGTTAAATTTTTGTGAATCCATCACAGTTCCAGACAAAGTCGGGAACAATTGCTGGTTCCTCTCTAGCTGAGACCAGCTTTTCCCAAAAGGGACTGTTAGAATTCCTATTCTCATTTTCCTTCAAGTCGGTGGTAATAGAGGAGACGGAAGGGGAAGGAAGAAGGGAGAGGAAAGGGGAAGTCCATACAAGAAAGGTTGGAAAGGAAGGGGGGAAATGGTGTGTAGGCATTTATTAACTTCAGAACAGTTCTGAGACAGTCTCTAAAATTTCTTATTAATTTCCTTCCTTTTATTGGAAGAAGTATTTTTTCTTTTCTTCTCATAAGAAGCTTCCATTTTTCCAAGTAAAGATATGCTTCCCATATAGTCATTCAGTTTCATTTCAGAACCAACATTTTTCTAATTTCTGCATGCAAAATATTAATGTATATACCCCAAAACAACTGCATTTTGGCCATTTCTAAGTTGATATTTTCTAGTTAAATCTTTCTATTTCTGTAAAGCACTTGCAAGTAAAGGCTTCCTAACAGGAATATTAAATGAGGGCTGTGGTTTGGGAGCTTATAGCCTTGGAGGCACAATTTCCCATGTTATTTTCTTTTTGGATATCTGTAGTCTGAGCAAATCTCCAGTATATGTTATGTACTGGGTCAAGTGTGACCTCAGTTTCTCTCCCGGCTGTCTGAAACAACAGGAAGGGTTCGGGCCCGGGAAGACCAAGCCTTAGGGTGGCCCATAGACAAGCCAGTTAGTTAATTACAGTTGAGCTGGCCCTCCCTGTGGGGCTCCTGCACTGACACCTCCACAAAGATTCTTGTCACCTATGAATAACCAAGAATTAAACTGCAGGGAGGATGTGCCCCTATATCTTATAAGCTGATGAGTTCAGCTCATTTATACAGCTAAGGATTTTTGCTCAGACTCTCAGAAAGCAATTCCAATTAAAAAGCCAAAATAAAAACCAGCCACCCATTTTTTTCCTCCAGTCCTACCTTAGCCTGAGTTCTGTCAACCCTTAACCTGGATTCTTTCAACTCTTAAGTTTAATTCCACCTCAAGGATTTTAAGACACAGCTCAAATAAAGTCAGACCCTCAAACAAAAGTAAGGGAAGATCGTGGATCCAAAAGACAACTCACCCACATTCACCCAACAGGTGGGGAACCAGCAGGCTCAATGGGCCCTTTGCTGGATCCTAGCACGGGGTTTGGGTCTGTTGGAAGGTCCTGGGTGAGTTTCTTTGCAATCCTGCCGAGAATACGCCAAGTAATGTAACATAAAAACATTTAAACCTGTAAAGAATTTGTGTAGGTTTATTTAAGCCTAACTGTCGACAATGGCCGGGAAGCAGTATCTCAACAAGTTGGGATACTGCTCCAGAGAATGGCAGTTTTTTCACCTATTTTTATACGTTGCAAACATAGGTGGGTTTCATAAAATCCATTGGTGAAAGATTAGAGAGGCAGGAGAAAGCAAAGTGGAGAAACCTCTGGAATTGGATAAAAAGTAAAACGATAGACACATACTTAGATGGGTAGCAGGATAGTTAATAGTTAATAGTCAACAACTAACATGATAACAATAACAATGAAGGAATTTGTGGTATCTGTCCTGGTGCCCAGGCACATTAGGTTGTGCCCCAGGGTGTCGGGGAAAAGGGAAGTTACAAGTTACTCTGACATTTCAAGGATACGTCATCATAGATGCAAAAAAGACAGATAGGCTCAGTTAAGATAACGGTAGACCTTGTCGGTGAAGATATCAACCTAGGATGTAACTACCCACCAGAACTGCTTTTAGTTAAAGTTTCATTACAGACCATATTTTGTCTGTAGGTTTCTGAGTTTACAAAACCGCCATGCAGGTCTTCCCTGAGCTTGTCAGGTTAACATGTGGCCCCTTTCATCCACAAGAGTTAGAATCTGCATTTTTAGCAGGACCTGCAGTCCCTCCCAATGCACAGGAGATGGGGAGGGGAGTTCCCATACCCACATCATGGGGTCTCATTCTGGCTGGGCATCTACTATAGCTGGGCAGCTGCCAAAGCAGCATTTCTAAGATGTCCCCTGGGCATTGAATCTTTAGAAAGTTCCATAAATGATAGGATACACAACGGGGTCGCATCCCTGTGACAAGAATTCCTGATGTCACCCCAGGCTTCTGCTCTGAAGATAAGAGCCAAATGGGGATGAGAGAAGGTGGTGGGAAGGCTACTGTGCACTCCACACAGAGCTGTGGGAGATGCCCTGGATACGTACACCCCAAGCTTCTGTTTGTCCAATTGTGAGCGGTGGCATGGCACCAGGGGTTAACCTGCAGAGTTAGATGGGATTTCAGTTCAGCAACCTTGGTTCTTGAGTTCAGCTAAGAGAAGAATTCAGAGTCAAGAACTCAAATTATAAGAGAGAGTTTATTTAGAAAGTCACAGAGGTAGAAGACGTGAGCTGTAGAAGAAATGGGCTCAGGAAACTAGTTACAGCAGCAAAAGAAGGACCCTTGGAGCTTAGGAGAAAGAAAACAAAGATAACAGACTGGAGGAAAGAAGGAGTGGGGACAGCCACAATGTGTTCCAGAGAGAAAGCGCCACACTGGGTCCTTCTTCTTGAGGGTAGTTGTCTGGAGGTCTCAGGGGAGGGTTCCAATAAAATATTCATCAGCTTTCCAGGTGTGTCCTTTTGGGTCAAAGGTGATTAGTCAATGCAGTAGATTCTGACGTCAGCTATGTCCAGACTAATCTGATTTTGCTGCTTTTCTGGGTCTGAAGCTGAAATACAACTGAAGCTGAGATGTATTTGATGCCAGTCAGAACCTCATTGTCCTGGCGGCTTAATGCTGAAGGGCTATTCTTAGGTCCTCTGGTTTCTTCCCCCTCTAATGGCATCTAACCCACATGGCTAACAACATGCCAGGAGAGGAAAGGTCAGGGGAGGGCCTGAACCACATGACCAGTGATATGAAAGGTCAGAGGATCTAAACTGCAAAACCAGAATATGCTCGGGGAGGAAAGGTTGCCAAGGGGGCAAGGTCCCAGTCCAGTTTTGCACATTGCTAGGTACCTGGTGCTTTTCATTCTGGTGACCTTCCCTACTGGGCTATTGTCCTACGCTGCTCAGGCCTAACTGCCTACTACGCAAACGAGGTGTGTGTGAGTGTGTGTGTGTGTGTGTGTGTGTGTGTGTGTGTGTGTGTGTGTGAATAAGGAGGAGTCACTGCAGAAGAAGGTAGAAGCCTCAGCAGTTACAGGAAATGCAAACGTAGAGGAAAGAAAAGGGGAAGCAGGAATAATGGGAGGGCAGGGAGGAACCTGGGTACAGACCTCGCCCCTGTTCATGTGACCAGGGAATTGATCTTGGCCTAGGAGGAAGCTCGGTGCACTGGGAGGAGGAACAGCACATCCCACTCACCAGGACATCGGTGTTTGTGAGCATTTCTAGAATCCAAGATCTTCCCACAGAAGGACGGACAGAGCAGGCATCAGACTCCATGGAGTCCCCCTCAGCCCCTGCCCACAGAGGACTTGTCCCCAGGCAGGGGCTCCTGCTGACTGGTGAGAGGGGACAACTACCTGGTGGTGGATGGGAGGAGGAGAGGCACAGGCTAGCTGGGGACTCCTGGGGAGCACAGGCTCTCAGAGAAAACAAGGGGGAGGGGACAGCCTTCTGTTTGGACCTGAGGGGAGAAGACAGGGGAGCAGAGTAGGATGGGGGAGGGGACTCCACAACAGGAAAATGATGTGGAAGTGGTGAAGGAGAGGGAAACCTTAATGGCTGCTCATTTCCCAACCTATTCATCACTGAGAATTGAATGCTGAAAACTGTTTTAAAGAATATATTTGTATTGATTACAGAGAGGAAGGGAGAGGGAGAGAGAAACATCAATGATGAGAGAGAATCACTGATTGACTGCCTCCTG